GTTTAGAGAAACAATGTTAAAAGAACGGTGGGCTGGGTTACCTTTTGAATGTGGTGACAAGCTCTATCAGTTGAAGTAAACAGCCTTTAAAGTTGTGTTTCAGTAGAGCTCTACTTGTATTGCATAACTTTGCTGAAGCAGTCAGGGCTTAGATAATAGGCAGTGTTAATTTAGGAAATGTTGGGTTTGATAATTCATGGGGAAAATCCTACATGTATTTTCACTGTATGTCTTTTTTGGTTTACTTGTTTGTTTCTTTGTTAATCCTCACCTGAGGATATTTTCCCATTGATTTTTAGGGAGAGTGGGAAAAGAGGGAAAGATAGAACATCAATGTGAGAGAAACACATGGATTGGTTGCCTCCTGCACAGGGCCCCTACCAGGGCCCAGGCCAGGAAGGATCCTGCAACCCAGGTAAGTGTGCTTATCCAGAATGGAACCCAGGACCCTTTAGTATGCAGGCCAATGCTCTATCCACTGGGAAAAAAATCAGCTAGTGCTCACTGTCTATCTTTTTTGAGGCCTTGGACAAAGTCAGGCATTAATCACATTAGTATCCTGAGTTGTTTTGTTGTTGGCTGTGTTATTGTTGTTCATTTCTTTTAAGGATGCTCAATTTCTTAACATGGATTTAGGAAGAGTTACAGATGTGTTTGTTTTTTCATCCTCACCTAAGGATATGTTCATTGATTTGATAGCAATCCAGTTCCTGTTACTCCATCTTGAAGCAGAAGTCCCAGTTCATCCTTTTTATGGGAACACATGAAATATTCGGTAAATATTATTTGTGGGATTTTGTCAACCAATGAAAGCATATTTACTTGTCCTTTTGCTGTTTTTTCCTCAGGTTGTAATGTGGTCATTTCATCCCGTAAGTTCGATGTATTAAAATCTACTGCAGATGAACTGAAGACCACCCTGCCTCTCACCAACCAGTCTCAGGTCACTCCCATAAAATGCAACATCCGTAAGGAAGAGGAGGTACTACAACCATGCCCATGTCTTTTTTCATTTTTCATCCATATCAGTGGTTCCTAAACTGAGAGTGCTTCAGGTTTGCTCATGTTACCTGCCTCAGATGAGGTTCAGGAGAAGCAGAGCCTGTGAAGGAGGCTCTTTGCTAATGATCCATTAAGTAAGTTGCCTCAGGAGAAGGAGAGAGGAAGGGAAGCAAAATTGTACCTCCAGCTTTCTGATGTGTGGACATTGTGGTGAGAGATTGTAAGCTCTCCTGGAGCAAACCATCCATCCGAGTAGCAAATAAGGTCATTAACCAGTTTACTTTTAATGTTTTTCTTCAGGTAAATAATTTGGTCAAATCCACCTTAGATATTTATGGGAAGATCGATTTCTTGGTAAACAATGGAGGAGGCCAGTTTGCGGCTCCTGCTGATCACATCAGTGCAAAGGGATGGCATGCTGTGATTGAAACCAACCTGACAGGCACCTTCTATATGTGCAAAGCAGGCAAGTGTGATCACTGCCCCCAACATTCAAGGTGTCTGTGTTCAAAGATCATAGAGAATCCTGAAAGAGAAACTGTTAGGGGCTCAGAAAGCTCAGTTTTCAAGATTCACTGCCCTGATTTACTCACAGACAGGATTGTAAATTGCTACAATTCTGGCTAGTAATTTGGCAGTATTTATAAAATATGGATATCTTTTGAGCTTATAGTTTTATTCTTATGAATTTACCATGAGAAAATTATAAGGATCAGTACAAAGAGATAACAACAGAGTTGTTTATAAAATTAAAGAAAACTCTCACACTTAATTTTTTTTTAAGCAATAAATCTGTTATAAGGACCTGTTAAGTCAGTAAGGTCCTTGGGGAGAATGCCAGACAGAGTCCACATTCTTTAGACTAACAACTAATTAGCATGGCATGGTCTTTGGATTACAGGTTATGTTTCAATCATTAAAATGTCCATACTACCCAAAGCAACCTATAGATTTCATGCAATTTCTATCAAAATATCAATGGCATAATTCACAGAACTATAATCTAAAATTTATGTGAACCCACAAAAGACCCCAATAGACACAGTGATCTTGAGAAAAAGAAAACAAAATTGGAGGTTTTATACTACCTGATATCAAACTATACTATAAGTTTATAGTAATCAAAACAGCATGGTACTAGTATAAGACATAGATCAATGGAACAGAATAGAGAGCCCAGAAATAAACACATACCTATATGGACAATTAGTATATGACAAAGGAGGCAGGAACAGACAATGGGATAAAGATAATTTATACAATAAAGTATGTTGGGAAAATTGAATAGCTAAAAGCAAAAACATGAAATTAGATCACCTTTATACACCATATACAAGAATAAACTCATAAATGGATTAAAGACTTGTATGTATGGCTCAAAACCATAAAACTCCTAGAATTAAACATAGTCAGTGAAATCTCTGGCATGCCTCTTAGCCATATTTTTTTGGGATATATTTTCTTGGGTAAGGGAAAAATAAAAAAAGGTATATATGAAAATGCAAAGGATGCAGAATAGTCAAAACAATTTTACAAAAGAAGAAATTTGGAGGACTTATATTTCTTGAATTCAAAACATCGTGGTACTGGCATAAGGATAGATGTATAGATAAGTGGAAAAGTATTGAGAGTCCAGAAATAAAACTATATCTGTGGTCAATTGACTTTTGTCAAAGGTGCCAACAATTTTATGGGGAAATGATAGTCTTTTCAATAAATGGTCCTGGGACAGTTGAATCTCCACATACAAAAAGACCCTTACCTCACACTATAAATAAAAGTTAACTAATAGTCCAGAATGGATCATGGAAAAAGTAAAATTGTGAAACTTTTAAAATTAAACAAAGCAGAAAATCTTTCTGATTTTATTTATTTTATTTTGTTTTTTAAAAATATATTTTACTGATTTTTTACAGAAAGGAAGGGAGAGGGATAGAGAGTTAGAAACATGGATGGGAGAGAAACATCGACAAGTTGCCTCCTGCACACCCCCCACTGAGGATGTGCCTGCAACCAAGGTACATGCCCTTGACCGAATTGAATCTGGGACTTTTCAGTCCACAGTCCGATGCTCCACCCACTGAGCCAAACCTGTTTTGGCAAATCGTTCTGATTTTAGAATAGGGAAAAAATTTTTAGGAACCACCACCAAAAATACCCATATATCCATAAAGTATAAAATTGATAAACTAGACTTGAAATTAAACATGTTTATGCTTCAAAAGACACCATTAAGAATGTGAAAAGATAAGCCACAGACTGGAAGAAAATTTTCCAAATCACATATCTGATAAAGAACTTGTATCCAGAATATATGAAGAACTTTTATAATTCAATAATAAGAGAGCATCCCAATTAAAAAGTGAAAAAAAGATTGGAGTAGATATTTCACCAAAAAAGATAAATGAAAAGCTAATAAGCGCATTTAGAAGATGCTCAGCACCATTGGTCACTAAGGACAGGGAAATCAAAACCTCAGTTTTGAGGGTACCACCTCATTTCCACTAGAATTGCTGTAATCAGCAAGTCTGACAATACTGGTGTGGAGGAACTGGCGTCCTCATGCATTTGTGGTAGGAATATAACGTAGTGAAAAAGTTTGGCAGTTCCCTGAAAAGCTAAACATAGAGTTACCATATGAATGCAATTTTACCCTTAACTTGACAGAAACAAAAGCATGTGTCTACATAAATCACCCCAAAGTGGAAATAATCCAAATGTTCATCAACTGGTGAATGGATAAGTAAAATATGGCACATCCATACAATGGAGTACTATTCAATAACAAAAAGGAGCTATTTATAAGTGTGACAACATGGATGTACCTCACAAGCATTCTAAGAAGCCAGACATAAAAGTTCACATAATGTGTGATTCCATTGATGTGAAATATTTAGAAGAGTCAGATCTACAGAAACAGAAAATGAATATTTGCCCAGGGATGGATTTGGCTGCAAATGGGCTCAGAGGAACTTTTTGGGGTGATGGAAATGTTCAAAAACTTTATTGTGTTGATAGTTGCACAACTGTGCTCATGTTTTTAAAGGATTTTATTGGTTTGGAGAGAGAGAGGAAGGGAGAGGGAGAGAGAAAGAGGAACATCAATGTAAGAGTGGAACATCGATGGGCTGCCTCCTGCACACTCCCTACCAGGGAGTGAGCCCGCAACCCGGGCATGTGCCCTGACTGCTATGGAGCCCGCAAGCTTTTGGTGCACAGGATGACACTCCAACCAACTGAGCAGCACTGGCCAGGGCCACTCTGGATATTTTTTTAAAAATTATTAAATTGTACACATAAAGTAGAAGGCTTTTATGATGTGTAAGTTGTACCTCAGTCAGGCTTAAAAATAAAAAATATATAAATATGAATTAAAAACCTACCATAAGAGCAGCATGCTGGAACAGGGGACCAGAGAAGGGTCAGCACACTGTTTAATATGACTGTCATCTGTCTGTTTCCTTCAGTTTACAACTCTTGGATGAGAGAGCATGGAAGATCCATTGTCAATATCACTATGCTTACTAAAAATGGATTTCCGGGATTTGCGTAAGCATTTATACATATATATTTTCCTATGTGTCAAAGGTTCAGAAATAGCCAAAGTAAAACAAACAAAAAATCACTGAAATCATCATCAGGGAAAAATTTACTGTGCACACACCAAAAGACTTGTAGCAACCACACTTGTAACCCTCAAATTACCAATTTATATGTTTTCATAAAAAAGTTTTCACTATTCCTCTTAATCCCTGTGAATTGTGGGAATCTTATGTGGGCCTGCACAGTGAGGTTTGACAATCAGACAGCTGTGGTTTGGCTCTAACCTGGGAGGACCCAATTCTTTGCCATTGTTCAGACAGCCTCAGACACACAGTTTCATGACAAGAAGGTTCTTGTTGGGTTCTGACAGGCCATTGACAAACCCGTCAGTTTAGTTAATGAAGAAACATTCAACAAAAGCTAATTATAATGTTTATATCTTTTGTGTTTTAAAGGCATAGTGCAGCTGCCAGAGATGGTGTTTACAACCTCAGCAAAACCTTGGCTTTGGAATGGGCCAGCAGTGGAATAAGAATCAACTGTGTTGCCCCTGTAGGTAACTTTTCTATCTGAACAAGCTGTGCACTTCTGATTCCATTTATGCTGTTGATAAATGAAATTTATCACTGTTGGTATTTGTCACTGTTTGTATACTAGAAAAGATTGGTTTTTGAAAATGGATGTGTATATTCTTTGATTTACCAGTTTTCTTTGATTAGATTGTTAAGGTTAAATTAAGCCAATATTCTCAATCCTGGCTATTAGAATTATCTAATATAATAGCCAGGATTGAGAATATTAGAATTATCTGTGAAATGTTTAAAAAATAGTGATAAATAATCTTGGCTTCAAACTCTAGAATCCAAGCATCAGTATTTTTAAAAACATCACAAGAAACTCAAATGCACTGTGAAGGTTGAAAATTCGCTACTTTAAAGAATGAATTTTTCTGGATTGTTTTATTATTTCTTGGCTTATTATGAATCTTTTATTAAGAGAGAGAGAAACTTAAAGTCAAAGTTTTAGGAAGAAACTCCCAGTTAAAGAACAACTAGAAGTAAAGAGAAAATTTCTCTGAAACCTAATGTAAGTCATGGGGGGGGGGGGGGGAAATCATAATATATTCCACTTCAAAACCTATCATTTTTGTGTGAAGTAAGATACAGCTTAAGCTTCCTTGAGTATTACTCGTTGGCCCTGTACTGAGACATTAAATGAAGCATTTCACTCCTCCTGTAAAAGTCAGCTCACATGCACTTCTCTGTGATGTTTCCTGGACATTGCTAAAATATAGGAATTGTTCCTCAATCTGAAACTTTGTAATCTGTGGCTATTATCTGTTACTCTATACTACCTATAGATATTGTCATCCATGCTTCTCAGCGCGAACTAAGCATGACCTGATTTGTTGACATTAGTAGAAAATCTCCTATTTAACAAACTCAGGCTCCTAGCAAGAAACTTCATTTCCATTTGGTCCTTCATAGCTGACTTTACCTTACTGAAATTACATGCAAATATTTATAAAATGAATTAAATATTAGTTCCATTCTTAATGCAGCTACCTTGCATTACTGGCCTCCAAAAGCGCATTTCTTTAAAACCTTTAGTGGGTTGGTAGTGTAATAAGCACCTTATTGAAGTCATGTTTTTCTTCCTAAGATGTTTTTAGATTTAAAGTCTAAAATTTAATACTTCTAGAAGATGTCATCCTCTTTCAACAAAAGGTTGCAAATTGTTTAATGGGAAACCAGTATATCATCCCCCTATCATTTGGAGTAATACCACGCAATTTCCTTGACTCTTAACACCTCCTGTTCCTCTACCTTCCCATAATCTCTGTTGTGGTTTTGAGCCAGTAACAAATAGCTTTATCCTGTGTTAAACAGGTTTTGAGTACTTTTCCTGGCTTTATAAACCCATGAAAGCTATATAGAAGAATTCTTAAACAATTACATGTTTCGTTTCTTTATATTAGACTCACATGCTTTATTTGTGATTTTACTGTAGGTGAAAAACCATGACAATATTGCATTTTCTAAGTCCCGCACAGCCATGGCCCAGCCTTACGTGTAAAACAGAGAAGCCCAGTGGAAGATAAAATAGACTCTCCAGTCTCATGGTTTATCTCAGTTAAGAGCCCACTAATCTGCTCATATGATTATGCTTTCAGAATCCAAGTCTTTTATGAAACATATCCAGAGCTTAACTGGTTATTAAGGAAGGGGGAGTTCACAAAATGAGCATTCAGATAATCCATTTGTAGTAGTCAACCACTATTAAATTTTCTCAATATTAGCAAGTGTCACCTTTTCTATGATACTGAAACCACTTAATTTTTTGTATTGGTTGATAGACTTTCTTGATGCCTTTAAAATTTAAATTTAATCTTATGTACTTTATTTTGTTCCTATTTTATACATAAACATAGGGAACCATTTATTCCCAGACTGCTTATGACAACTACGGTGATTTGGCAAAAGACTTATTTGGAAGGGCCTATGAGAAAATCCCAGCTAAGAGACTTGGAGTTCCTGAGGAGGTAAGCTATATTTCTAACACCGATTAGAATGACTTTATTTCACACTTTGAAACTTAGTACCATTTTGATGTCTTTTTTACATAGTGTGGTGGGCTGTTAGAGATGATAGCTCCACTGCCACCAAACCATTTCCCTGGACTTGCCTGGTTGTGCTTTTGTAACCGGACAACCAAGGGGTCCGGGCTACCTGTCACTACTTGAGCCAATTGAGCAGAGACAGGGTTGAATCAGATATGAGCGTTTATGCCAATACTGCTGTCTGTACGGGAGAGCTGCAGGTCATCCACAAAAATCTGCTCTGACCCCCTCCCCAGGTGGCTGGTTATGTACATGAGGGAGAAGTCAGCTACGTGCAGCTGCGAGCGAGCTACAAGCGTAATGTGGAAAGGGGAGGGTAGAGCCTGCAGTCCGGACCTCTAAGTCCCATCACATGATGTTACAAACAGCTCCGCCTGCTTCTGGGACCTGAGAATGGGCAGTTCCTGAGATAAACTCCCAGAGGGGGTCAGGGACCAGGCTCATCATCCAAATCAAAGCGTGTCCTGTCCTTGGTCTGTTCTCAAAATATATTTCTTTTCTGAGTAAGGGGCCTAGTGAGGCATCTTATCTTTTACAGCCTTGTTTCATCCTTCAGTTTCCCCGGATCTGTAAGAAAACGGCTTATCTATAGTTAGGGAGGTGAATAATTATTAGACAACTGTTGCTCTATTCTTATTGCATCCTTTTCCCCACTATAACTTGGAATGCTCACAGCAGTCAGTGTTTTGTTTTGTTTTGTTTACATATATTTTTATTTGTTTTAGAGAGGAAGGGAGAAGGAGAGAAAGAGAGAAACATCAATGATGAAAGAGAATCACTGATGGGCTGCCTCCTGCACACTCCACACTAGGGTTTGAGCTCACAATCTGGGCATGTGCCCCTGACCAGACTCAAACCTGGGATCTTTCAGTTCGCAGGCCGACATTCTATCCACTGAGCCAAACCAGCTAGTGCGCTCACAGTAGTCTTTTTTTTTTTTTTTTTTAAATATTTTTTATTGTTTAAAATATTACATATATTAGTACATATATCTCCTTTTATCCCCCATTGACCTTTCCCCAGCTTTCCCTACCCCCTGTTGCATGCCCGCATCCCAGCCCCCAGTGTCTTGTGTCCATGGGTGTGCTTATATGCATGCATACTAGCCCTTTAGTTGATCTATTTCCCTCCCTCCCAACACTCCCTAGCCTTCCCGATGTAATGTGACAGTCTGTTCGGTGCTTTACTGCCTCTGTATCTATCTTTTTATTCATCCGGTTATAATTTTCTTTATTTTCCATAAATGAGTGAGATCATGTGGTATTTTTCTTTCATTGCCTGGCTTATTTCACTTAACATAATGCTCTCCAGGTCCATCCATGCTGTTGCAAATGGTAAGAATTCCTTCTTTTTTATAGCAGTGTAGTGTTCAATTGTGTAGATGTACCATAGTTTTCTAATCCACTTATTGGCTAATGGGCATTTAGGCTATTTCCTAATCTTAACTATGGTGAATTGTGCTGCTATGAACATAGGGGTGCATATGTCCTTTCTGATCGGTGTTTCTAGTTTCTTGGGATATAATTCTACAAGTGGGATCACTGGGTCAAATGGGAGCTCCATACTGCATTCCCAACAGCAGTCCATGAGGGTTCCTTTTTCTCCACATCCTCGCCAGCACTTGTCGTATGTTGATTTGTTGATGGTTGCCATCTGACAAGTGTGAGATGGTACTGCATTGTCATTTTGATTTTCATCTCTCAGATAATTAGTGACTTTGAGCATGTTTTCATATATCTCTTGGCCTTCCTTCTGTCTTCTTTCAAAAAGATTCTATTTAGGTCCATTGCCCTTTTTTTTTTTTATTGGATTATTTATCTTTCTTTTTTTTAAGTTGTATAAGTTTCCTGTAGATGTTGGATATTAAATCTTTATCAATGATATCACTTGCAAATATGTTCTCCCATACAGTGGGCTTTCTTGTTGATAGTTTCTTTTGCTGTGCAAAAGCTTTTATTTTGATGTAGTCACATTTGTTTATTTTCTCTTTAGCTTCCATTGCCCTAGAAGTGGTATTGGTGAAGAAATTGCTTTGGCATATGTCTGAGATTTCTCTGCCTATGGATTCCTCTAGTATTTTTATGGTTTCCTATCTTATGTTTAAGTCCTGTATCCATTTTGAGTTAATTTTTGTGTATGGTGTAAGTTGGTGATCTAGTATCATTTTTTTGCATGTATCTGTCCAATTTTCCCAAAACCATTTATTAAAGAGACTGTCATGACTCCATTTATCTTCATGCCTCCTTTGTCAAATATTAATTGAGCATAAAGGTTTGGGTCGATATCTTGATTCCCTATTCTATTCCATTGGTCTATATGTCTGTTCTTATGCCAGTACCAGGCTGTTTTAAGAACAGTAACTTTGTAGTAAAGCTTGAAATCTGGTTTTGAGATTCCACCTACTTTGTTCTTCTTTCTTAGGATTGCTGTGGCTATTTGGAGTCTTTTTAAATTCTAGATGAATTTTTGGAGAGTTCTTTCTACTCTCCAAATTTTTGGAGAGGTCTGTGAAATATGCCTTTGGTATTTTAATGGGTAGTGCATTGAATCTATAGATGGCTTTGGGTAGTATGGACATTTTAATGATGCTGATTCTATCAATCCATGAACATGGTATGTTCTTCCATCTGTTTATGTCTTCCTTTAATCTCTTTTTTCAGTGTCCTGTAGTTTTCCACGTGTAGATCTTTTACCTCCTTAGTTAAGTTTATTCCTAGGTATCTTAATTTTTTTTTGGTGTAATGTTAAATGTGATTGCTTTTTTAGTCTATCTTTCTATAAGTTCACTATTGGTGTATAGAAAGGCCATAGATTACTTGGTGTTAATTTTTTATTCTGCTACATTGCCTAATTCTTTTTTTAAGTCTATCAGTTTTTTTATGGAGTCTTTCAGTTTTTTTTATGTACAATGTTAAGTCATTTGCAAATAAGGACAGTTTTACTTCTTCATTTCCAATTTGAATGCCTTTTATTTCTTCTTCCTATCTAATTGCAATGGCTAATACTTCCAGTATTATGACAAACAGGAGTGGTGAGAGTGGGCATTCTTGTCTTGTTCCTGTTCTTAGGGGAAATGGTTTTAGTTTTTGCCCATTGAGTATGATGTTAGCTGTGGGTTTATCATATATGGCTTTTATTATGTTGAGGTATGATACTTCTATTCCTACCTTGTTCAGAGTTTTTATTAAGAAAGGGCGTAGGATTTTGTCAAATGCTTTTATGCATCAATTGATATGACTATGTGATTTTTATCTCTCAATTTCTTTATGACTATATGACATTCCATATACAACTTTTGTCAGGTGGTCAGATTTAAGAATGAAAAAAATAATACCTTTCATAAATGTTAGCTATATCAATCTTAAAATGTAATGAAAAGAAAGTTATCATTTCCATAATAATAATAAAAACTAGAATACCTGGAGTCTACTTAGCTCTGAACAGAAATATTTTATTACTAAAGACCAGAGTAGAGAGACATGTCATATTCCTTAACGGAGAGAATCAATGTTAATAAAATCAAGTTTTTCTAAATTAATGTATAAATTTGATATATTTTTGGAATTCAACATACTGGTTCTGAAATTTGTTTAGAAAAATGTTTATGAAAAAAAAAAAAAGCCAAAAATGTGTTGAAAGAGAATAATGGGGGGATTTGATCTCGCTGACATCAAAACATACTCTAATGCAATACTTATTTACAACATCTGGTGCTGGTCCCGGAATAGAATAAAATTAGTGGAATTTAATGGACTCTTGTATCAGTACCATGTATCTATGGGAGTTTGTAGGATAAAAGCAGCATTTCAGATCTTTGGGGGTAAAATAGATCATTCAACAAAAGTTTTGCAGCAATGCTCTGTTCATTTAGAAATAAATTACACTTCCTCTCTTACATCACATATAAACAAAATAATTTTTAGATATATTGAAGTGCTAAAGATAATAGCAAAACCATAAGATTCTTAAAGAAAATGTGTTTTAATTCCTAGAGCTACCTTTCATTATCAGTTTTATGTATACATTTCCAGATATTTACTATGTGCACACACATATCCATATTTATAGACTTTTTTTTTTTTTAAACAAAAAGGGATGTTGCTCTGGTCTTTTCTTCAATTTGCTTTTAGTCCACAGGTCGACACTCAACCACCGATTCCCTCCAACTGGGCAGCAGTACTCTTTTTAATGAAAAATAGCTGCATTTAAAAAAAAACAAAGAATACATTTTGTTTTACATTTATACAAATATATTTAATGAAGGTCTTACTAGAATACAGATCGACTTTCTTTTCTGCCTCTGCTTCCAATCTGTTGCAATCCATTGTTTTGGTTAAAGCATATGAAGAAAATCTGGCTTCTTACATGTGGACAGTTGGAAACAGAGGCACATTTATTAATATTAGCATTTTCCGATGATTGTGAATATTCTTCTTTACTATTCAAAAAGTGGCAGTTTTTATTTTATTTCTTTTTTTTTTTTAATGAAAAAAATGTTTTTGTGGATTTCGGAGAGGAACAATAGAAACAGTGAGAACCACCTCCTGAATTCCCCCTACTGGAGATCCAGCCCATAACCTGTGCAGGTGCCACGTCATTGTCAGATATAAAAGGCACGTGGGAGTGATGAGAATATGGTTGTGGTGGGCAATGAAAGGCGTAGAAAGAGCTGAGTTGTTTGAAATGGAAAAGAGCCCAAATTGAGCCCTGTGTTTACTTTGCCTTCTTCACATTGTGTATCTTATTTGATGCCTTCAAAGGCTCTGTCCTATCTTGCTGTCTTCACTGGAATCCCTTACCTGATTTGCATGATGCTCAAATAAAAAAAGGCCGCTGTCTATGTACTGCCCGCATATGGTGCACATACACCTTGGAATTCATGTTGTAGTCGTGGGCTCTGAGATGCGTTTACTCAGGATTGGGAAGCAGGCAAAGAGGAGACTCATCAGCTTTTCTGTGAGCATGTGTGTGTTTCCATTTCCAGGTTTCCTCCTTGGTATGCTTCCTGCTATCTCCAGCAGCTTCCTTCATCACCGGGCAGGTGGTGGACGTGGATGGGGGCCAGTCTCTGTATAATCACATGTTCCATGTACCAGGTGAGCAATCAAGCAATGAGGAGTCACTACCCTTTTTGTGTTCATAGTTTCAACATGTCTGAAGTAGTCACTTAAGAGATAGGAGTTTTTTCTTTAGCACATCAAAATGTGAAACTTGTTTATATTCATTATATGATTTTTAAAGGAAATATTCCTCATCACAAAAATATCTAAATATATTTATTTATAGAACTTAGCTTTATATATATTTTTAAAATGTTTTTTTGGGTGTGTGTAAGTTGGTAGAATTTGAACCTTGAAAAATATTCTCAATATGAATATAGATGTTTAAGGAAGAGAAAGAAAAAAGGCAAGAAGTTGCCTTATTGTTTTTTTTAGATCAAACTCCTCTTAATTCCTCCAGTAAGTGGCTTGTATATCTGAGCAGAAGAATCAGACATGTTAGGTGAAGAGGGGTTATGGTGCTGTTTTACACTATCTTTGGATATATATTAAATGAAACCTTATGAATTTAATGTATTCATTTTTTATGTATAAATCAGTAGTTTTGTAAGGCTCAACCAAATGTAGATATTACACACAAGTAAGTGTGTGTGTGTGTGTGAGTGTGTGTCTCATGACTAGACCAGAGAACTTTGGGATTGAAAGGGTCCTAAAAAACATCAGTCCAATATCCTAATTTTGCAAATGACAAAACAAATTTATAGAAATTAAAAGGCACATTCAAGTTAATCACTCCCAAAATATAGAAAAATATATAAAATTCAAATGCATTCAAACTATTGCTCAAGATAGTTGACTAAGTGACTACTAGCAAATTAAAATGCGATTGATGTAATGTAATTATCTTTGAGTTTCATATCAGGGACCCAGGTTCAACTTACGTTTTCATGTGCTAACAGTCTGATCAAGGGTAAAGACCTTGGCATTGATAAATGAGTAGTATGGAAGTGTAATATTACTTATTATTTTCCCCTGCCATATATCTTTCTTTATAAATAGCATCAATGGGTATAAGATACTTCAGTTGTAAGGGTCTCAGTTAGGAACACAGAAATGCCTACATGGTATGCTGTATTTTTTTCTGATAGTATTTAAAGTAGCAAGAGTGGGAGAGAATCTTTCCACTTCCCTCACCAGAGTTGAGTCAGTAGTATTTGTTCTGGTGAATTGCATTGTTTTTCCTTTATAATGGGAAAGAACTCCAGGTGGCTGTTTTCCCAGGCCTCCAGTGTAATTATTATTATTATTTTTTTTTTTTATATAATTCTAACACTGTTTTTATCATTACAAAAACATTTTTCAGGGTTTAAAAGAATATATTTTTTATTGATTTCAGGGAGGAAAGGAGAGGATGAGAGAGACAGAAACATCAATGATGAGAGAGAATCATTGATCAGTTATATCCTGCTTGTTCCCTATGGATATCTAGCCTGCAGCCTCAGGCATGTGCCCTGACTGGGAATTGAACTCTGACCTCATGGTTCATAAGTCCATGCTCAACCCTGTGCCACAGAGGCTGAGCCATTTTTTTAGGTGTTTAAAAAAGCAGTCACATCTATTTTTAAAGAATATATTCCCCCAAAATTATGTGTAGGAATACTTAGCCTGTCCTTGTAGTGTTTTCTTTAAGGTTGTCAGCCCTGGTGAGAATGCCTGTGATGGAAAGCTGGCTATACTCTTATTAGCTACATTATCTAAGGAAAATTAATTAATGTAAGCCTCCACTTCCATCAGGTGAAATCACTTATAGTGTGAATTTTGTAAGCTGTTGGGAGGATCAAGTTAGATAATGTACAGTTAAGGCCCTGGGTCCGATAGGATGTTTTCAGGTGGAACTCAAGCTGGCTTGAGCCAAAAAAAAAATAATTTGTTGTCTTTCTCACTGAAAAGCAAGTGAGACATGTCTCAGCAGCTCAGTGGTCTCACCAAGAACATTTTTCCTCCCTCTTACTTATGTATTTGCTTGTATGATGTTCACTTTAAGACCAACTCTCCTGGTTGCAGGATGGCTGCCTGCTGCTCCTATAGTTTCATGCTTCTTTTTTCACATCCATCTGGACAGGGAGAGAGTAGGGAAGGGAATGACTTTGTTTCAACATTTCTAGCAAAATTTTGAGATCCACTCTGCTTTGGACCAGTTTATGCAAATGACCACTCCCAACCAATAACATGGTCAGGGGATGGAGTGCATTGGCTGACTTAGATCAGTCAGTCATCAGTCAGTGGTGTGTGGTCACTTCTGCAGAATCTCGGAATTGTAAGTGTAGAACATGCCAGGGTTCTTGTCCCAGCATTACAAAGGGTTCAGCAATCTGGAGAAAGGCTGTGTGTAGATTCAATAAGGAGTCCAAAGATGAAAAATAGATTCGAAAGCCATTGGGGGTCAGAGGAGCTTCAACTAAAGGAGCTAAAGACCTTCTCCTTGACTCAGGACCCCAACACAATTTGTCCTAAGTCAAGGTAGAGGTAATACACTTCAAAGGTAGGTGTTACAGAAGTATTATCAGATTGGGGAATAACCTTCAGGTGTTTGATCAACAGGAGGCAATAACATGCAGATTAAGAAGCCCTGAGTTGTCTGGCAGCAGACAATCATCCTATTCAGGTTTGGGGGAAGTGCCTTCCAAAAATTCCAACAGATAATCACATATGTGATTCAGCCCTTGTTGAGCTCCAAGTTTCATCAACCTTTTGATAAAACTCTTGTAATTATGACATGCTGGAATTGGCTCCTGGCATCAACAGGCTATTAGAAATAATAGATGAGGGAGTGGATGCTGGAGAGACAACTAGATGTGCCTGGTACAAAGTAAGCACATTGTTTTAAAATCATCATCATTAAGGAAGTAATATTTATTGAATGTCTACAGTATGCCAAGTGCTGTACATATGTCGTCACATTTAATTCTCACAACTTGAAAAGATAGATGTGGTTATCCCTTATAAATATGAGAAAACCGAGGTTCTGAAAGAGTAACTTATCCCAATTCTGAAAAGCTAGTAAGTGCCAGAGTGGGGACTCAAACCCAGGATTTTCTCAAAATATGTGCTACTTGTCCTAATAATTTCTTTTTTCTTTCTGAGAAAAGGGGTGAACCAGGGAAAATAACAAGAGGGTTTGGTGGAAACTGGGAAGACTTGTAAGGTTAATAGATTTGCAAGTGACCTGAGGTTTTCCACTTACTTAACAGATCATGACAACTGGCCGGAGGGACCAGGGGACCTTTCTGTTGTCAAAAGGATGAAAGAATCTTTAAAGCTTAAATCCAATCTCTAAACTAAAGAAAGGAGGAGATAATTTTTGTCCCAGAATGCCTTAACATCTTAAGGATGCATTTTTGTACTTGATAGGAGCATGTAATTTGTATAGACAAATCACTTTGTGTTTTTTGAATGTTTTCAATTTTGGCTATGCAAAACTATTTCTGAAATAAAAGCATTTTTAAGTCCCAACTAATACTATTTAATCTGTAGGTGTTTTTTTTTTTAATTAAGAATGGAAATTAACACACTTTATGATTATACTGTTAATCCTAACAAAGGTATTTGAGGAGTGGAATACTTTCTAATTAATAATAGAGATATCATGATTTTCTAAAGGTTTATTTGTAATAAATCTAAATTGTAGCAGCACTGTGATTCCAACAACTGAAGTTATATAGTGACTCATTTTACCTGGCAAACACTTTTGGACCAATAAAGCTTTATCGTAACTATCAGTGTGCGGTCTGTTTTCATGAAATTGAATTTCTATAATCCTTTTTAACACAAAAGATTGGTGAGTAGGAAGTAAAGAGGACTTTACAGAACATGGAAATAGCAGTTACCAGGAACAACTAATGCGACTGAGACAAAGTACCCTACTCTTCCCACCCCACTTCCCAGTGGACATCCAAACCTTGTTGGGAGGGCATGGGCTGGCCCACTTGATGGCTCGGCAACTTGTTGACAGGGCAGTCGCTGTGGTTTTCTGCTGGTGGAACTTGCTGGAAATGTGCCCTCTGGAACTTTCCCAAGAATATCCACCATCTAGGGTGCCAGGGCAAACTTCATGGGAGGAGTCACCTCAGAGGCTCTGCTGCACAACTCCCTGAGGGAGGTGCCAGGGACACTGGTGCTGCAGCTGCTGCTGGCTGCCCTGCACCACCACCATGGCCTGCAGACTGGAGTCTGGGAGGAAAGCCTTCACCTTCTACAGTGTCCCTCCATCACCCTCTCCTGACAAAGCTCAGTGTCAGCTGGCAAAGGAAAAGCTGAAGGGCCCAGATCCATTGTCACAGAGCTGAGAGGCAATGGGTCTATCACGGGCCCACTTGGGGCCTTGGTGTCAAGCAGCCTGTCACTCTCCTTAAGGAACAGGGCCACTTTAGGGCTCAGCGTTGGCCTCTACGTGGACAGGGTGCACATTTAGAGGCAACTCCAACTGCATCAGCGTTGCATAAGTGAGAGCCCATGATGTTGAGCCTGTTTGCAGTTTTCCTTCACTCTTGAGCCCATAGGCCAGTTCTATGGTGGCAGGTAGTGAGGGCTGGGGAGCTGAGTCATTGGTCTCCCTGGTATTCTGTGCCTCTCTGGGGGCATGAATGTGTGAGACAAAAGTAGCAATTTGTGCCCACTCCTCAGTGTTTTGTCTACATGCTTTTGGCCCAGGCCTTCTGGTTTCCAACTTCACTGTCCATTTCCTTTCAGGTGCTGGCTAAACCTCATGGCTGTGGGCCATCTGTATATATTCTCACTTAAGGCCATTTTTCTTTAAAGTATGAATGCAGGTTGCACTGCCTACAGATTGCTTATTAGAAAGGTTTTTCCCTCCACTGCCTCACAGGGCTTCCCCTGAATACAGCTATAATGAAGTTCAGACCACTGGAAGGAAGAATTTCAGACCAGGACACAGTCCAGGAAAGGGTCAACCTGGCCGCTGGGAAGTCCTTGAGCCAGTTGCCCATTGCTTGGCCCCAGGGCTCACGGGAATAGGCCTGAGGTAACAACTTGGCTGTCTTCAGTTTTTGGCTGGGAGAATCCCGAGGGCAAATCACTGGTGGATCCAGAGCTGTCAGTCAACTGTGCTCCCCGAAGCAGGGATTTACACTGCATTTTCATGGCTGCCACATGACTATATCCTGTAACTGTTTTGGCCCCATTTACTTTTAACACTACCCTGGGACTTGGCACACAAAAAAAAGTATTACCTTGTGTCTAGACATAAGTGCCTACTTGGGATTCCAAGACTTACTAGTAGCTGCAAAGCTTCATCTTGAACTTTTGTTTCTTTTCTTAGTGTTTGTTTGTTAGCAGCTGTTTTCTCCCACCTCATAGAGTGAGAAGCATGAGTGCACCCTGTCCTAGTGGGAGTCAGATTGTAGGGACCTGTCAAGTCCTAATGCTGTCGATGTCAACACTGCTTTCCTGGGGGACTCTCCCACATCTAGCAAGGCTCTCTGACCTGCTTCCATCTGTAGCCTCCAAACTTGCTCTCTTTGAAGTTGTTAGTGCCCCACAAGGAAAGACCTTGAAGAAACCTTCTTATTAAGACCACTCTGCTGAAGTTACTAACAAACCTTTCTGCTTACTGCTCCTTGCATGCTTATTTTGGCCTTCAAAATGCAGCTACATTTCTGCCATAAGCCACCCTTCTGCTTATTAAGTCTCCTTGCTTATTTGGTTTTCTCTGTTCATTTCTATAGAGCTATTGGTAGACTCTGTCTTTCCATAAGTTATAGATTTTAGATTCGGCTACCTGGGTTGAAATCCCAGCTTCTACGACTCACTCGCTTTTATAACAGCTTTGAGATAATTGAGGAATTTAAATATGGGTTGCAAATGAGCAAATCATAAAATTACAGGTCATTTTGTTAGTTGTGATAATAGCATGGCAGTCACTTTTTATAAAATTTCTTACCCATCAGGTAAGAAATGTTGTTATTTGGGATTTGCTTTCACATACTTCAATATTAAAAACAAGTTGGGGAGAGGAAGGGAGTAAGAGAACTGAGAGTAGAAACATGGTAATAGTCGTTTAAGCAGCGTGACATCCAACATACATTGTATGGTTGATTCTACTATTCTCTATACCTTTGAGTAAGTTTGGGAATTCCCCAGGTTAAAAAAAAAACCCTATAAAATTAAAGTGGTGGTGTTGTTACTTACCTAGAGGGTAATATGAGAATATTGATTATCCATAAAGGTTATTTGGGAGAAACAGGATGAGTTCCCACTGGATGTGAATAGTTTTGGGGAGTCCATCGGTATGGGAGACCAGTCTCCAAATGGTGATGATACTGTTGTCATTAGCTAGTTATTAATAATAGGAAAGGAGCAAAATGGGAAACAAACATTATGAGCACGGCCATTTGAGCAGCTTCACCAGGGAGGTCCTTACACTCTTCTTCTTCTTCTTCTTTTTTTTTTTTTAATATATTTTATTGATTTTGTACAGGGAGGAAGGGAGAGAGATAGTTAGAAACATCTATGAGAGAGAGTCATCGATCAGCTGCCTCTTGCACACCCCCTACTGGGGATATGCCCGCAACCAAGGTACATGCCCTTGACCGGAATCGAACCCGGGTCCCTTCAGTCCCCAAGCCGATGCTATATCCATTGAGATAAACCGGTTTCGACTTCTTCTTTTTTTTATGTGGCAAAAATATATGTGACAAAAATTTGCCATTTCATGAAGCAGTTTTTAATTGTTTGTTGGGAGTGTGCCTTTCCCAATAGATACCGTTTTGGAGGTCGTTACATGAGATCTCTGAACATCAGGTTGTATCAACTGACTTTTAAGTCTGTGTGAATCACAACACTTCAAATTCTTTTTGCAGAAAAATATTCTTCTGAATAGAAATTCCCTCCACATTTAAATGAATTGTTCGTGCTCATCCATAATTTTTGTATCTACTACTTGAGTATTCAGTGTCTACTACTTGAATAGGGTGCTTAACTTTACATATAAATAGTTTTACGTGTAACTTTACTATGAGTGCACAGTAACAACATTTTGAAAATTTCTCAGAAGTGAGGGCTCCTACAGTGGAAAGTTAATTTTAACAACAGACTGCTTCCAAGAGAAGAGTTATTTTTTACCCATTTTCAAAAAATGTAGGTGATATTGACATGGCATAAAGTGAACTATTTTTAAATGAATCATTCAGTGGCATTTAGTACATCCACAGTGTTATGCAACCACCACCTCTATTTGAAAATATCCTTCAAAGGAAACCCTATACCCACTAAGCAGTTGCTCCCAGTCCCCTCCCCCAGCCCTGGTGACACCACTTGGCATTCTGTCTCAATGGATTTACCTATTCCAGATATTCCATGTAAATCGAATCATACAATATGTGACCTTTTGCATCTGGCTTTTTTTCACTTACCATAATATTTCTGAGTTTCATCCACATATTGTAGCATGTATTTTTAATCAATATTTTGAGTGAGATTGCCTCTAATCATTGACAGAATTTCCTGAACCTTATTTCTATAATATGCTCTCCTAAGGACAGAAGGCTTTATTAATTAATAATGCATGGAGGACTTAATATACTAGTCTTTACAATAATAATAATAATAATAATAATAATAATATCTAATCTGATGAAAGAATCCCTGCAATTGGAAAGGAAGGACATTCAAAACTTGTGGGAGAACTCAGGGATGGATTAAGGTCTAAGGGTGGCCAGGCAGTTAGTTCTGAGATATGCCACCCGGATCCCCCTGCAAGAAGGAAGGAGTCCGGAGAAATGCTGCCAGCACTCCACCCTCAACTGCCAGACCTGCTTCTGGACAACCTCAACGGAAGCTGCCTCACCCAAGGTCATGTTCCCTTTCCCGGTAACCCTCATCCAGAGATTGGTTGTCATGAGAATATAAAGGCCAACCCCCCCTCACCCTAACTCAGAAAAGCTTAGAAGGTCACTCTGAGACAGGTTGAGGCTCTCTGAAGAAGAATGGAAGTGTTCATCAGTTGTTATTTTTTTGAGCCTCTCCGAGATAAGATTAAAAGTTCTTTTCAGCCACTCCTCAAACCAATGCATCTGTGCCTGCACCAGCCAACGCCAGCCTACCCTACCGCCAGAGCCTAGGGAACAGAGATCCACTCTGTGCCTGTATGCAGAAACCCAGAAACCCAGTGCTATAGAAGCCAGACCCCAGCTCACTGTAGGGAGCCATGCTCTGTGCTAGTGTGTGCCCCCTTGATGCACCAAGCTCCCGCCCTTTCTCCCCTCCCTCCATCTTGTTTTCAGTAAGCCTCTTTTTTTTTTTTTTTTTTTTCTGATTTTC